CATGCTAAGCGAAATAAGCCAGACAGAAAAAGTTGAAAATCACATGATATCACTTATATGTAGAATATAAACCTAAAAGCAACGAATGAACAGGACAAACAGAGACTCATGGACATGGACAATGGACTAGTGGTTACCAGAAGGGAGTGGGGAGGGGGAGGGGGGAAATAAAAAAATAAAATGTTAAAAAAAATTTGTATATATACTATGGAAAAAAATAAACTGGAATTTAAAAAAGAAAGAAAGAAATACTTATTAGAGTCTGCACTGGAGAGACAAAGATGAGTCAGACCTGGTCCCTACGCTCACTGAGCTCTAGGTTAGGGAAGGAACCCAATTCAAAGCCAGACCATTACAGTTCAGCGAGAAACACCCTGATAGAGGTCAACAGACTTTTTTGGCCCATCTCATAAACCCCCTGTGAAAATTCCACTCTCGGTTTTCTGAGCTCAGTTTTCCTTATTTCAAACTCCAAGTGAAAAAAATGCAAATGTCCCAGATGGTCATTTTTGCAGTCATGGTTGGATCAGACCTTTCCTTCTGGCTCATCCAAGGTATTTGTGGGCTGCCACCTCATTCTGAATGTCCCCTCTCTCCTAGTGGAGCTCGCCACATTGCACATGCAGCAGCCAGGTGGCTGCACGCTAACAGAAATTCTAGCGAGTCAGGGAATGGGTTTTAGTCCTGCACCTTTGAGGTTAACTGATGCTGGCCTACAATGATGACCAAATCCTACTTTGTTCCCTGCGCTTTCATTTCCACTTCTGTAAAATGGAGCCGTTGGATCAACACTCCATGGGTCTGTGTACAGTGAGAGCTCCTCAGAGACAGCGTCTTAGCTTCTTCCTCTGAGTGGCCACCATCTGGCAAAGGCTAGGCGCTCCGATGTTCACCGAATGTGCGTATGAATAAATGACTCATATTAGAGCAACATGAGTCATGGAATTAATTAAAAAATACATCCAAATGTTGACCAAGTCCACTGTAGAGGGGGAAAACCAAACAACAGTGGCAGAATGGTGTTTCCTCTCCGGCTTTCCCCTCACCGCTTTCCCGGACGAAGCCCTTGTAAGTCAGAGATGGTGTGGACACAAATAATGTCCTCGAGATGGGCTCCAAGCAGTTGTCACTATTAACAAGAAAAAGGTCTGTTTGTCTTGGGGGTGCTTTATACTGTTACACAACAACAAAAACTTTAACTTCCCCAGCTGAGTCTTGTTTAAAGAAAGGGTTCATTAGGCCATGGCTGGCAAAAGAAGGAGGAGGAGGAAGAGAAGAAAACCAATCTTGGGGCATAGAGTCTAAACCACTGGCAGCGTGGCTAGGCAGAAAAGACAGCATGTCCATCATATTTTATACATCGAGTAGGGAAGAGAAAGATGGAAGGATTTACGTTAGCTGGAGACCAAGGAGACGGGCGAGTTGTGGGGCAGGCTCAGCAAGTCGTCAAGGAAGAAGTGTCTACTCCTGTGGACTAGCTGTGGGCAGCAGACTGGAAAATTCATGTGCGACAAGCTGAGTCCCCTGGCGTTCCATGGCACCTGGCTATCCTTTCTCTTGGGTAATGTCATAAACAGTCACCTGGAAGTTAATCCTAAATTCCAGCAGATACACAGGAATGCGAGTGGTTGTTTGTCAGAGCTTGTCCACAGCTATTAACAGAGTAACTGGTCTTTCTCTCTCTCTCTGGCTGCTGTAATTTTAATTTAGGATATCTCGGAAATTTTTTTTCTTGTCAATATCAATGAACTTGAGGGACCCCAAGCATCCTCCTGTGGTACATGGATCCTGTACCCCACCCCAAGTCCATGGGGGGAGAGGGAGAGTCAGACAGAGTGAGCTGACAGGAGGCCAGGACCTGGGAGAGCAGAGGTGTGAACAGACTGAGGGGGCCCAGAGGAAGGTGTGAGGAGGTGCTCCCTGCTCCTGCAGCAGCCCAGGCACGGGGGAGGACTGAAGGGCAACTCACTGGGAGAAACAGAGCACCCTCGTCGGGCGCCATGTGTATGCGTGACCATTTATCAGTAGAATTCTTTTTCTGGCAATGGACTGCACTTTCACATGCTTTCTAACATATCAGGCCTAGTTAAAGTGTTACAGAAATATCATTCAATTCGACAAACACGGGTAGAGTGCTCTCAGAGTGCCAGGCCCTCCATAAGTTCAGGAACAAGGAAATGAACAAACAGCCCCTGTCCTCAAAGACCTCCATCCAAACTGCTCCAAGCACCTTTTCCACACCACCCTCCTCTCCGCCCCCCACCGGCCAAATCCCGCCCCGCCCTGGGAGACCCAGCCCGAGTTCCACCTGACCCAGAGTCCCCTGAGCTACTCTCAGTCCACGGTGAACTCCTGCCACTTCTGAGATCTGGTTCCACGTATAGCTCTAGGTTTTATGAAGTGTGTGTCATGTCTCTGATTAGATTTGAGCTTCCTAAGGACAGAGACCCTTGTTAGAATTTTCTAGAGAGAAACCACATTGGTGGTTTATATCAGACCGAGCTCAGGCCAAGCCCTAGGCTTCAACTAGAGGACAATCTCCACTGCCTAGTATGGTACCTGCCCGCCCCCGCCGACCCCCATGGGCCCTTTATGAACTCAAGAGCAGCAGAAACTACAGTCAACTTTCCAACATGTCAACGGGCAGGGATAATTTGAGAACTGAGAGGGCGAGCATGATCAAACAAAAATCTAAAGGGATTTGACTCACGCTTCGCCTCTTCCAGCCTCTTAGGTGAAACTCAATCACACTTCCTTTCCTCACTCCTCCCCAGAGGCTTCCTTGTCAACTTTCCCCATCCCTATAAATATCCCCCAACATTCAAACCTGGCCTCTCCTCTTTCTTCGAGGCACTTCCCAAAGTCTCTGGAATGAGTCATGGTAAGTAAGTGCTAATGTTCTATAATCCTTACTGTTTATTCTGTGTAGTGGCACCTTCTTCATTTGTCTTAGGCTATTTCGAAACAGGGTCTGGACCCAAGAGCCCCAGCAGCCTGGGCAAACCCCTTTCCTGCCGTGGTTCCTGTTTCTCAAACCCTCTTAGACCTGAAGAACTGGGGGGTCTTCCCCCAACCCAGTTCCCTCTCCTTTAAGCTGGAGTAACTAAGCCGCAGGGCCCATCCTAAGAACAAGGAGGCCCGGTCTGACTCATGCTCCAGGAGACGCATTTCGGACAAAAGAGAACAGCCTGTCCTCCTTGATCTAGTCTGCTTCCCACTCATGTGAAATGGAGAAAATTAAACATAGTGAGGACAGGATACGACCCAGGCCACCCCACCACTATTGCTGACACTGTGCCGAGCAAAGATGAGAGCAGGGAAGACAGAGGGGGACCAACTGTGTCATCCTCTCTGCTGCCAACCCTTAGTACTCACTTTCCTGCCAGATATTAAGCTAGAAAATCCCACTGAAAGGTATAAGGAAGTTCAAAGGAGAAAAAAGGCTTGGGGGAGAAATCATAACACATCGTGGAATACAGAGGCAGGAAGGAGGAGAAAAACGATTGCCACTGCCAAGTTATCAGTCACTTCTTATGTTCTTAAGAATGCTTCATGTCTTTTGTTTGGCCAGTTTTACCTCCTAGATTCCCGTAAAACACACAGTCTTACCTGTTACCTAATAAAGCCAGCGTCACTTAGCCGTCCTCACCCCTCGTGGGAACACTGGTGTGGGATTAAAGTGCAGACTGCCAAGCCAAACACAGGGGCCTAGCCATCCCAAGAGTCTGAGCCTCCGACCAGGAACTTCCTACGCCCTCTTCAAGCGACTTACAGCAGCACCGACGGGCGCAATGAAAGTTCTAATCTATTCCTTCCTTCTGCTGCTGCCACTGATGCTGATGTCCATGGTCTCTAGCAACCCGAATCCAGGTAAATAACATTAATTTTCTATAAAAGTGCAGTTTTGTGGGGGGGGAGCAAAACAGAAAAGAAAAGGAGGCAAAAAAAAAAAAAGCCTTACAATGTAGCTCCCTTTAGCTACAGGGATTGGGGGCATCTCAGCGCCCATGTCCTCATTTACAAAAAGGAGAAAACTGCACTTACATCCACAGTGTTGAGAGTTCAATGCGATAGTGTATGTGAAAATGTCTGAAACTGTAGCTGGCGAAGAAAAAAAAAAAAATCTCGCTCAACAAAGATTTGCTCCCTTACCTTCTCCCCCAATCCTTTTTCCAGAAAAGTAGTGAATTTTCCCAAGGCCCGTCTTGGTGGTGGTGGGGTGAAGGTGTTGAGAGCGATCAGACATTCGTAGAAGATAAGGAAGCCCTTGTTTATATTCTTTATAGTGCGCCAGACGTCCCATTAACAGTTTTAACACTAGTTAACGGTAAAGTAATAAACTAGAAGCATCACACCCCAGGTAGTATCCATATTCAAAGCTTTGGCCATAACAAGCCCTGTTTTAACAGCCCACCTTTCGGGAGGCAGACCCTTGGCTACGGTGGCCTAGCCCTTAGCAGGATAACCACGCAGAATTTGTCCCCATGCATGGTTCCACGCGAGAGAACCACCTCCCCCAGGGCTACTCTGAGGTGAAATAGCTTTCTTACATACTCAGCATGAATTTGGTCCTAAAATCTATTCCACCCCAATTTCAAACTTCTCCTCCCTTGTAGAGAGATCTCTCTGGAAGCTGCTGGGTCCCACAGCCAGGACCACCATTCTGAAGGGAAGGTTTTTCCATCACTATGACAGACCCCAAGACTAAGGTCCTCAATCTAGAGTTCCGAGCCAGGAGGCAAAGCTCCAGCCACAGCCTGCCTCTCTGGGTACCAGCTCCCCTCACTCAAGAATGCTTCGGGCTCTACCTAAACGAGACCAAGAAGGTCTTGTACTTTCCCACCAGCTTTGTACCTTCCCCTCAACTTCGCTCCACAGCCAGCTGCTCCCTACAGCCGCCCTTGGTTCTTCCCATGACTAGAGGTGGGCTCTCCCTCCCGAGAACGTGCTTAGCCCCAACTTGACTCTCTCGCTGCACTTATCGTACTCTGCCTCATACTGAAGGGATTGGTATGACTCTCCTACTCTCTCCACCTTCTAGATTATAACCTCCTGGTGACACAATTTGGTATATTGTTTCCATATCCTTCACACTATCCAGCACAGTACTCAGTAAATATTTGCCAAGTGAAAGAATAAATCCTCAGGTTTCTGAGTTCAAAATACTGCTCTTGACCACTCAACACCTGAGTTTGATAACAGTTCTATTAACATTTGGGGCTGGATGAATTCTTTGTTGCAGGGGTTATTCTGTGCATTGCAAGAAGTTTAGCAGCATTCACGTGGCCTCTACCCACTAGATATCAGTAGCTGCCTCCCCCACCCTATAAGATAGCCGAAAATATCTCCAGACATTGCCGAACAGCCCCTGGAGGGGACACCACTCCCCGGCTGAGCACCACTACTCTATACCAAAAGTTATCAAAACCTGCTATCCGTTCAGACTTACCTAGACCTTCAGACTCAGCCTTGAAGCCAAAGGAATCTAGATCCAAATCCTGGTTCTGCCACTTACTTTGCAACCCTAGAAAGCCCACTTAAATTTTTTGAGCTTCAGTTTTATAATCTTAAAATGAATAAAATACCAGTTAGCACATAGAATTTTTGTGAAGGTTACATGATCTATGATGTGCACCTGGTAGGAATTGAATGTTGAATAAGTGGACTGAGTAGAATTTCTCAAGTAGCTCCTAAGGCACAAGGGCAACGAATCCGAAAAGCTCACAGAGCCACCAGGTGGCGCTATTACAGACCGAACTCCACCGCCGGCGGCCCAGATCAAGGCTGGCTTCCCCGCCAAGCCATTTTGCAACACAGGGATAAGCCTGGTTAGAGGAAATAACGCCCCACCCACACCCTCAAAATCATCAGACTAAAATCTGATCTTACTTTATCTTTTAAAATAACCACATATATGATCAATATGCTTTTCGCAGGACGGGGGGGAAGATAAGTGAGAGTATATGAGAATGTCAGGAAATCAATTATTTATAATAGCTTATGCATTACTTATAATATTACTTATTAGATAAAATTATTTATAATAATAGCTGACATGTGCTAAGCACTCCCGTGTGGCAGGCATTGTTCGAGGCACTTCACACATATTACCTCAGTCCTTACAGAAATCTAATGTTTGTTTTTTTTTTTTAATTTTTAACTTTTCGGACTTTCAAAAATGTCGTAAAAATAATCAGCGTTCCAGTATATGCTTCATCTCATTTTTCTCAAATAACATCTTACATAACCATAATACAATGATCAAAACCAGGAAGTTAGCACTTATACGATACGATTACCTAATGCACAAATATTCAAAACTTTTTAATCACTCCATTAATGTCCTTTTCCTGTTCCAGAATCCAATCCTGGATTTTACACTGATTAAAGCTATCATGTCTCCTTGGTCTCCTCCAATCTAGAGCAGTTTCTTTGCTTTCCTTGTTTTTTGTGACCTTGACACTTTTGAAGACCATTAATCAGATATTTTGTAGAACTTCCCTCAATCTGGGTTTGTCTGATGATTCCTCAGGGGATCAAGTTCAGATTATGCATTTTGGGCAAGGACACAGGAGTGATGTGCGTGCACCTTTTCGGTGCACTATCTCAGAAGGCCCACGATATTGATCTCTCTCACTGCTGGTGACCTTAACTTTGAACACTTGGTTAAGGTGGTATATGCCAGGCTTCTCTACTGTAAAGTTACTATTCTGCCCATTGCAATTAATAAGTATCTTGTGGAGAGGCACTCTGCAAATAACCTGGTTCTTCTCATCACACTTTTGCTCACTGATTATTAAGATCCACTGATGATTCCTGTGTATGACAATTATTTCTATGATATTAGCCAAAGGGTGATTTTCTATTTCCATCATTCCTACTACACTTTTCCTTCTCTCCCATTTATTTATTCGACTATTTATTTATATAAGTAAAGGCTCATGAATATTTATGGATTATAATCCATTACTATCATTCTTTATTATATTGTTAATGTTGTCTCAAAATTGGCCACTGAGAGCTCCTACAGACTGGCTTCTACGTCTTTTTGACATGTCCTTTTTTTAAGAGTTCTGACACCACCAGATGTTCCAGGTTCATCTTGTACTTTCCTGCCACAAGTCTGGAATCAGTCATTTCTCCTAGGAGCTCCAGTTCCTTTTGTGGGAGAGTGGTATTCACAAATCATGGGCACGAGGTATTGCCCATTGCTTTGAGGCGCTATTGCTTCTAGGCCCTCTAGTGGACAGAGCTAGGAAATAGATGGATACACACACACACACTATTAGCCCCATTCTACAAATTAAGTAAATGAGGCACAGAAAGGTTAAGCAACTTGTCCAAAATCACGAAGCTAATATGTAGTGAAACTGGAAGTTAAAATAATGGTAAATCTACCACAAGTCCTAACAAGTGGATGTAACTTCTTTACACATACAAGTCAGCAAAAAGCAACAAGCCTCACACTCCGGCATAGACGCTCTCTTTGGGAAATAACTAAAAGTCCACAATTATAACCACAATAAAAGCTGTCATGTAATGAACACCTGCTTGGACAGGGGGCACCCACGGGAGCTCATTTATTCCTAACAACTCCGAAAGGTAGTTGTTACGAGTCAGAGAAACAACAATCGAAGAAGCTAAGTGACTTGTCCAAGACATAGTCAAGTGGCAGAGCAAGTGGTTAAGTCCAGGTCTGTCTGGATGCAAAGCACATGCTTATTCCACTGTGTCGGTATTTTCCAAAACTGCTTTTCAGTAGAACATAATGTAGCTTTTACTTTAAGTTGTATGTTTATTTTAATGCATGTTAGAAAAAATCTAATCATCTACCAAACCCATAAGCTCACAGATAATACTGCAGAGAATAAAAATGTTTTTAAGTAAATTAAATGTATTTAAAGAAAAAGTACACATAGTAGAGCTATAGCAAAAATCATAAATGTGGTCCATAAATGCTATAGTAACATGAGGCTTCATTTTCAGTCACACCATGAAATCAGGGTCACATAGGGCTACAGAAAGTACAACAGACTATGACTCTTGAACCTGAGTTTTATCTCTAGATGCGTCGCCATTACCTGTAAGAACTTCAGCATTTTGTTTGCTCGCTCTGGACCTCAGTTTCCTCATCTGAAAGATAAGAGATGGTGATTTGGTTCATTAGTACAACCCTTTTAAAAGAAATTTGGTAATGAGATCAAGAAACATAAAACTGTTTTTAGCTTTCGACCCAGAAATTCCACTTGGGGAAACCTTGCCCAAGACAATACTATGAAATTTGGAAAACAGTTACAAGCACATAGAAATTTATCAACATCCAAAAATAAGACGATCTAAATATTAAGCAACAAGAGAACAGTTAAAACAATTTGTCATGGTGTTGTGCCATCATTAAAGATAAAGATGGCATTGCAATATCCTTATGAAGTGAACGAAAGGAAATTTGTTCATATACTGTGATTATCATCAGATAATGAAACTCATATGCAGGAAACACAGCAAAACACTGTTTGATAAGAATAAAGACTTCCTTATTCATACTTTCCAAATTTTCTCTAATATAGTTATATTATATTTAGAATGAAAAAAAAAACCTTCTCAATGAAGGGATTCAACCAAGATTCTTCTGGCTCTAATATTCTGTGGCTTTTCTCTGGAGCCAGAAGTCAAATGAGAATCAAATATTAGAAAAGTGTAGATGGCAGGAGCTTAGGGGTTTTGCCTGTTTAAATCGTCTTAACAGCACTCAAAACAGCACTTGAGAACATTTGGAAATGAGCATTTGGAGAAATGATGCAACACTCTTCATCTGTGTGGCAGAAAGGGCACAAGTCTGGGAAATAAGAGACCTGAACTGAACCGCATGACCACGAAGGGCCCTCTCTAGACAACTTGTCTGTCCACTTATTGAGTAAATATTTACCAAGTGCCTACCATGTGTCAGGAACCATGCAGCTGAGTGACTGCTGAGCTACTGGTTCAGAGTTTAGAAAGGAGAAAGATTTTTAGTTTTCTTGGGCCGCAATGAAAAATACCACAGACTGAGTGGCTTAAACAACAGATATTTACTTTCTCACAGTTCCAGAGGCTGGAAGTCCAAGATCAAGGTGTTGACAAATTTGGTTTCTTCTGAGGCCTCTCCTTGGCTTGTGGCCGGACCCCTTCTTGCTGTACCCTCACAAGGTCATTCCTCTGTGCACATACATCTCTGCTGTCTCTTTGTTCAAATCTCTTCTTCTTATGAGGACTTCAGTCCCATTGAATTAGGATCCACCATAACAGCCTCGTTTCAACTCAGTCACCTCTTTAATGGCCATATCCCCAAATACAATCACTCTGAGGTACTGGGGGTTTGAGCTTCAACATGGATTTTGAGGGGACGCAATTGAGTCTATGACAGATTTCAAACAACAAGCTATAACTGCAACAATAGAGCTGTATTCGTATATGGTGGGGAACCATGCAAAGGCACAATTAATTCTGACGGGAATATCAGAAACTACTATACAGAGGACACATCATCTGGGCCCAGTTCTAGCTCCAGAATTTCAAGTCTATATATAAGCCACCATCCTTGATTGTCATAATAATATTTTAGATGTCATAAAATGGGAATAAGATGGCATCAGGTGATAAGGCCTTTTTGAATAGAGGCCAAAAAAGGAATGGCTTTGTACCAACCATCTTTTAATAGTTAAGTGGGAATTAGGGATTCAAACACAGTAAACTTGGAGGTCAGGTGAAGATTCTATCACTCCTTGTTCTCATTCCTTAATTCATGAGGATTTTAACGTGTGTGTCAGGACAGGGTGGGGAAGGGAAGGTCTTGATTAAGCCCCATCTTTTGTCCTCTCGTCCATCCAGAAGCCATTCTTTCTCCACCTACCTCCAGCCAAGCTCTTCTCTAGGCCAGATTTTCTTTCAACTTCCATTCCTTATCCATTAAAATACTCCTCTCTTGAGGACTTGAGTAAAATACTCCTAGATCCATGAGTCAAAAAGGAAGAGAACTGGAACTGCGCTGACCTAGGTAGCAAAATGCTGAGGGACCATTTCCCGTGTCCGGAAGTGACCTGTTTCCTTCCGACAGGGGTCGCCAGAGGCCACAGGGACAAACGCCAGGCTTCTCGGAGGTGGCTCCAGGAAGGCGGCCAAGAATGTGAATGCAAAGGTCAGTAACTCAGTATCAACAACAGCAACGCACCATCGTGATCCTAAGTCCCTCCCCTCGAGTCCCTGAGACCAGTGCAGAAGTTATCCGAGCCGACTCACCCATCCCCCTCCCCACCAGCCCCCCACACGCAATGCCAACACTTGTTTCCTTCCTCAGTCTCAGACAAGAGCTGGACTCCTCCAACCAAGGTGTACAGGAGAGCTAGCTAAATCTCTGCCTGCCCCTTCCCCTTTACTTTTTCCCTAAGAACCCAGGGCTGCCTTCCAAAAGCTTCCTGGATCTTCTTCTGAACCTTATCTGACTCACAGGTAAGACTGAAATCAGACAGGCACAAAATGGCTTGCCCCAGGTAAAGCAGCCACCAAAAGACTGACACCTAGGTCTTCTTCCTTATTTTCTGGTCTTCCTAATGATAACCTGGTGCCCTCTCCACACCTGCCACCGAATTCTTGCCAACACAGGTCAAGAAAACTGCTCAGAAATATATCTATCTGAATACCTCCCCGGTTCCATATTGACCCTTTTTCTCACACCACTGCTGAATGCAAAAGGCAAGGAAGTTGACAAATAAAGCCTTGCCCTACTCCCTACTCTCAAACATACTAACCTTCCCAACTAAGCAGCAACTCTGTTATTTCAGACTGGTTCCTGAGAGCTCCTAAAAGAAAGGTCAGGGCAGCACCCAGGCTGCCTAAAAAGCAGTGTCCCTGTGATCATCTCAAGAGCAATGTGAAGAAAACCAGTAAGTTTCAAAAGAATGACCTTCTTCAAACCAGAGTCACACTGTGGAATCAACTAGGGATGGAGCAAGGGTTGAAAACAGGCAAGAGAGGTGAAATGAAGACCAGGATAAACACACATCTCAGTCCTTTCTAGTCATGTCAACTTGTGGGGAAATAGGAAGAGGAAGAAAAGCAGGATACAATTCTCCTAATACTAGACAGGTTGAGCCAAAGTCTTAGATTTTAGACCCCCATTGTTTATCCAAGGGAAGAGAGATGGAGCTGTGGGGACTTGGTCACTGATATCTGAAGATGACACCAGTGTCAGTGTCAAACAGAACTGATTCCTCTCTAGCTAGAAGTTTTCAAATGTCATAGAAAACTAAATTCAAAAATGTTAAACTGATTGATATTATGATATTATCAAGAATGGGCTAAATCAGGATCGTTGTCACTGTTGATGGAAGTAAAATACAATTTAGTACTACTTATCAAAAATCTAAATTTGTGTACCTTTTAACTCAGTAATCTCATTTCAAGATATCTCTACTATAAAATACTAACATGGATACTCAAAGATATCTATGTACAAGTTTATTAAAAATAGCAGTATTTGTACTGACAAATTAATGGAAATTAAAAATGTTCATCAAAAGCAAACTGGGTCTTATGGCCATACCACCCTGAACACGCCCGATCTCATCTGATCTCAGAAGCTAAGCAGGGTCGGGCTTGGTTAGTACTTGCATGGGAGACCACCTAGGAATACCTGGTGCTGTAGGCGTAAAAAAAAAAAAAAAGCAAACTGGGCAATTCTGCAATTGTCAGAAATAAAGAGGTAAATCATTATGTGTCAATCAGAAAGATATCCACAACACATTAAGTAAAAAAGCTGCAGAGACCCCTACTTGGCCTTCTTCGCGAAAATAAATTTCAAGTGGATTAAACATCTAAATTTAAAAGACAAATTTATAAGGGAATAGAGGAGAATATATTTACGACCTTGGAGCAGGAAAGGATTTCTTAAACAAGATACAAAAAAAAATAATCCATAAAAGAAAAAAAGATTAATAAATGACTTCTCTGAAATTAAGAAATTTTGGTCATCGAAAGAATAAAATGACTATCTAAAAGTAGGCGAAGATATCTGCAATATATATAACTGACGAAGGATTAATATTCAGTATACATAAAGAATTCCTACAGATCAATGAAAGGAAAGTAGGCAATACAACAGACAAATAGTCAAAAGACTCGAATCAGCCCTCTGGAGACGATGAAATCCAAAGAGCTAACAAATATATGAAATGGCACTCAACTTTCCCAGTAACTGAGAAAATGAGAGTTAAAACTAAATGGATTTCGTTATATACCATCAGAGTGGCAAAAAAAAAAAAATTTTAATCCGACAATATCAACCGTTGGCAAAGAGTAGGGCAAAGAAACTCTCATATTCTGCTAACAGAAGTGTAAATTGGTAAATCACTTTGAGAAAAAAGTGCTGGCAGTTATCTATGAAAATTTAAGCTCTATCACCAAGCAATTCCTCTCTTAGGTAAATACTCAAAAGGAATGCATGCTTATAGACAACAGGAGACATGTACAAGAATTTCATAGCAGCATTGCTCGTAACTACCCCAAACTGAAAATCGACCGATGAATAAATGGTGATATATTCAAATATTATATATTAGTGAGAATAAATAAACACATAACAAAGTAAATGAATCTTAAAAAAATAACATTAGGTAAAAATAACTGAGACATGAGAAAATAGCTACAGTATGATTTTATATCAACAAAGTTCAAAAATAGGCAAAATTAAAATAAATTATTAGAAATAAATAAATAAGTGGTAAAACAATCAAGAAAAAAGTAAATGCTTGCTGTAAAGGTCAGGGTTACCTCTGTGAGGCAGAGAGGATGGATAGTGATCGGAAAAGGAGCAGGGGGCCTGCTGGCAGTATTCTATTTCTAGGCCTAAGTAGTAGTTTCACAAATATGTGCTTTATAACTATTTATTGAACTGCACATATAAGTTTTTATGGACTTTTTATTATAGATGTATAATATTTTGCAACAAGATGTGTTAAAGGTACAGAGCAAAACAATATGTATAGTATAATCTCATTTTTGTTTTTTAAAGCAAACGATTATGTTTACACACAAGAAGATAGATAAGACTATAGTAAACTGTTAACACTAGTTGTTAGCTCTGGGGAGTGGGAGTGGACATTGCAGTGGGGGTGTCCTTTTATTTTTCACTGGATACATTTTTTAGTTTTAATTTTTTTTCCACTGGATGAGTCTTACTTTTATAATTAGGTCTCGTAAAAATTAAAAATATTAAATGTTTTTTAACACTAGTCTCTCCCCTTTATTTCCACCCTAGGGCACCAAAGGCACAGGAAGCCAAAAAAGCCCTCCAGAGCCTGCCAGCAATTTATCAAACGTTGTCAGCTAGCAAGCTTTTCTCTGCCTCTGTAGGAACTCTGAGAGCCCACTCCGCCAATGAAACATTCTCAGCCAAGAAGGCAGTAAGCACACCTAGAGGATGTTCTTCTCCCACCTCAAGCTCCCCTTCCCTGTCTCCACCCCCTAAATCATTCCAGTGTTCTCGAAAAGCATTTTTCCCATGACTATTTTGATTATTGTTCCCTCTAGTGCCTTCTTCTCTTGTCAGTCTTTTCCTGTGCCTTCTCCTTACCCAGGCTTAAACTTAGTTACCTGAAAGAAACTAGGAAACCCCAGCTTCCCAGCTGGTCCCACCTGAACTTAAACATAACCAGGAAAGTAGCAAACAGAAGTCAATAAATATTTTTAAATGTAATATGTCAAAGTCGTTTCTTTCAAATGGGGTCTGGCAACTCACATTCAATGCAGACGACCCACTTTACTCTGTTCACGCCAAACTCAATCACACACACTTCTTCCGGTCACCTCTGCTGCATCTCGCGCGCGCGCGCGCTCTCTCTCTCTCTCTCTCTCTCTCTCCCTCTCTCTCTCTCTCTCTTCTCTCTCTCTCTCTCTGTCTCTCTGTCTCTCTCTCTCTCTCACACCCCCACCCACTCCTTCCTTCCTTCCCTCCCTCTCTCTCCCTCTCCCCTCCTCCACTGCCCAACTTTTTATTTTTTAACTCAACTAACCTTTCTGAGGTAAGACTTAGGTGGGGCAAAGAAAGCAATGAATCAGATAATATAGATAAACCTATATCAGTTAATCAGATAAACCTATATTAAAGATAATATAGGTTTTTTAAAAACTGGCACAACTTCCTAGCATGTAGAACACAGAGTTACGATTGTTATCATCATCATCATCATCTAGGATCCATCATCAATGATCATTGTACTCTGTGAGCTTCCAAACTAGTTCAGAAGACATACATGCAGAACCATAGTTTCAGAGCTAGAGAGAGAGTGTGAAAGATCTCGAATGCCACTGTAAAGGGCTTCAAGCTGTAAAAACAGGAGGTCATCATTTTTTAAAAACGTGGGAGTGAAATTATAAAGCAATAATATAAAGAAGTTAAACTGGCAACCATTTGAATAAATGAATAAAGAGAAAAAGATTAGATTATAACAGTATTGAGACTGCCTCCCCCTCGACCCTTTCCTCAAATATCAGAAGGGGAGAATAAAAAAGGAACACTCATCCAGAATCTGGTTTCTGTCATCCCAGATGAAACAGATGACTAAATTGGGATGCTACCTTATGAGGAAAAAAAAAAAACATTTTAACTGAGTGGTAAGTGGGGTGGGGCCCTATTTATGACACAAGAGGGCAAGCCCCTCCCCTGTGGTAGGAGAGTGTTGAGCACACAGCCTCCTCCTGTCCCTAATCCATCCTCCAAAGCAGGAGGCACAGAAGGGTCTCATTTGTCACAGGAGTGGGGGCCAGCAGTGGTCAGCCCACA